ACTGTGAGTCTTAGCTCCGACATCGCTCACAAAAGCTAGATACGAAAGACAACCCTTCCCAACCATACGCTGGGCTTTCAAGAATGAGATCACTCTACTAGGAACATAATCAGTCACACCTCGCCACTCAATCCGTGGCACACCCGATATATCCAATGTGACTGTCTTAATATGACAGTCTAGAATAGCACGACATGGAGATAACCAATCCATGCCCAAAATGACATCGAAATCCACCATACATAATAATAAAAGATCCACATAGTCACCACATATGGCCGGTACACATGGTCTACAATAATAGTATCGCCCATCGGGGTAGATACATGAACAGGTGAAGCAAGAAACTCAAGGGGCGTACCCAAATAACGAGCAAAGTGTGATGACACATAAGAAAAGGTGGAACCAGGATCAAATAATATAGAGGCATCTCTATGGTAGACTGAAACAATACCGGTAATAACAGCGTCTGAAGCAATAGCATCGGGTCTGCCTGGGAGTGCATAGAAATGGGCCTGACCGCCACCTGATTGATCTCCCCCTCAGGGGCGACCCCTAGCTGACTGGCCTCCACTCCTAGCTGGCTGGGCGGATGGTGGTGAAGTAACTGGCGCTGAAGCCGATGACTAATTCACCCGCACGCCTCAAACTAGAACCAACATAGCACATAACCGTGCAATCGACTAATTAATAGTGGACTCCCCACTTGGCTCGAAGCCATAGATCAAAACACACTCAATAACTCATAACGCATATACTCTATTACTACCATAGTACCATAGTACCATAGTGAGATCAAACTCGATACTTCATAAGTTCGTGAAACACACACCATCTGGTACTTTAACTCTTATGCAAATCTCGCATTCACTCTCGTAGTAGTCAAGCCTACTCTCTTGAGCAACCCAAATTCAAATTATGAAACATATATTTCCCTGGTAACAGAGATCTTCAAATAAATGATACAAGGGATCACACAAACTTCAGAACAATCCGCAGGAGATAACCCTACCCGCTTTGCCTCGAACTAACATTTCTGTATACCTTCCACAGTCATAAACATTACGGAGTTGCTTAAACTTCCTAAGTCAGAACTCATACCGGAACATGAAATTTACTCCACTCCCTACTAGGAAACATGGAAAGATTCTTCACACACCCATAACTCGGAGTTATACCTCATATCAAGATGAAAATTGAGCACCTAATAGTCCTTCTATCCTCCAGCAGACCCTTCTCGTCTCTTCCAAATCGCATGAATACATTTCGCAGTCACATCACACTCATCACGTAACTATCCAGTCATCACCTCCCTTAATAGGGACACAATAGAACATATGGATCCAGAAACACATGCTCACAAAATCAACAGCTCAGTGCTCAAGCTATAGATAAAAATCCGGCCTCGAGTCCTCCAGACTAGCCCAACATCAACGCACGAAAATCACATATCTCCCATCGATCAGGGAATCACAAGCCATTGATGCATATCCGATACCGAGCGCTCATGCGCGCATACGAACGCGTGGAAGGAATTCCAAGAGTTACTTTTCAAGATGAAACAAGGACGCATGATAAGAATTCAAGAATATGGAGTTTTTCCTAAAGGTTATGCAGCCTCTCGAGGATAAATACAGACGTCTACGTACCGATCCGTGAGACTCTACTAAACCTGCTTATGACTCATGAGACCTATGTAACCTAGGCTCTAATACCAACTTGTCATGACCCTAACCCGGACCCGATCATGATGGCGCCTCTTATGAAGACAAGGCCAACCAACTATTCCCAATTCGCCATTAAACAGTTAATCAATAATAAAATATCCTAAAACATGATTAATAATACGAAGTGGCAGATAATATCAATAAAATGTGGAAGTATAACCCAACACAGCCCTAACTGGGGTGTCACAAGTCATGAGCGTCTATAGGCCATAATACAAGTCTGCTAAATCCATAAACTAGTACAAATGTTTGAAGGGAAATAGAAATGATAAAAGAGTAGAGACACGGGGCTGCGGACGTCAACAGCTACCTCGTAGTTTCCGAACGCTCGCCTGGAACTGGAGGGATCAGCACTCAGGAGCAGTACTAGCTACGCCTGAATCTGCACACAGAGGTGCAGGGAGTAAAGTGAGTACTCCAACTCAATGAGTAACAAATGTAAATAACGACTGAAAGTAAGAAAACACGTAAGACATAAGGCATTTTATAATGAAGTGGTAAAACCACTTAAAAGCAGTAAAACAGTGGAAAGTCAAGTAAAATCCTCTTTCAACAAATAAACAAGTAATTGACAAGTAATTAAGATAAAGCAACCAAATAGAAGTTCGCCCCTCGGACGCAGTATTACCACATCTGCCCCTCGGGCAACATCTCAGAACAATAACAGCCCATCGGGTTTAATCTCACATCACAATGGGTACCCGTGCTCACTGTGGGTGTGCAGACTCCTAGAGGGGCCCCTTACGACCCAAGCACAACAACAAGCCATCTCATGGCATCAAATCTAGGCCATCGGCCTCATATCAATCAAGACACCTCGTGGCGTATATATCTCAGGCCCTCGACCTCAAATCAGTATCAGTGTTTCCTCACAACTAGGACCTCAGCCTTACTCAGTCAAAACAATACTCACAAGCCCCTCGGGCAATAGTAAAACAGTGTTTCTCAGCCCAAACATCATTTAAAATATCATTTAAGTCTTAAAACTGAGTAAAACATGACTGAGTATGAAAACAGTGGAAAATAACACGATTGAGTTCAAGTATAAAGTCAAAACAGTGAGGAAATAGCAATGAAAAACCCCGAAGGGTTCAAATAGTTGGCATGAAGCCCAAATATGGCATTTAACCCAAATAATGATGATAACAAATAGTTTTCAGTCAAATATGCGGTAAAATCATCAATCAGGATGGACCAAGTCATAATCCCCAATTGTGCACGACCCCATGCTCATCATCAAGCATATTCCTCACCTCAATATAGCACTACGATGTGCAAATCCGGGGTTTCGAACCCTCAGAACATCATTTACAATCATTACTCACCTCGAACCAGCTAAATCTCTAGCTCGCGATGCCTTTGCCCCTCGAATCGGCCTCCACGCGTGTCGAATGTATCCAAAAATCAGAACGAGGACATCAAAACATGCTAAGGGAACAAAGCCCAAGCAAAAACAATCAATAAAGGGCACAAATCCCGAAATTACCAAAACCCGACCCCCGGGCCCACGTCTCAAAATTCAGAAATTTTTATACCAATAGATTCCTTATCCTCTCACGAGTCTATGCATATCAAGAATACCAAAATCGGAGTTCAAATGATCCCTCAAATCCTCAATTTAAGGCCTCTTAAACTCAACCCTTAATCCTCCTTTTTTAGCCCTTTAATTCCTTTAATTTCAGCCTTAATCCATGAAATACTACCATAGAAATGTGTTTTAGGTCCAAAATCCTCACCTTAACGAAGTTCCCTTGAAATCCCTCTTTCAAATAGTCCAAAAGCTCTCAAGCCGAAGTCAAAAATAGTGAAATAACCCAAAATTTTGCGAAGGACTCCTTTAATTCATCTGCCGAGTTGTTCCGCATCTGCGACACCTTTTGCCGCTTTTGCGATACCGCATATGCAGTCTATCCACCGCTTCTGCGAAAATCACTTAAAGGCCAATTCCGTATCTGCGGTCCACTCTCCGCATCTGCGACTACACAGGTGCGGTCCAACTACTGCATCTGCGGTTCCAGACTTTTCTCTCGAATCCGCTTTTGCGACCTCTCTCATCGCACTTGCGACGCCGCACCTGCGGTCCCAAACTGCAGGTGCGAAAACACCAGAAGCAGAAAAATCTCAACAACTGAATAACCTTTCAACTTCTCCGACGACCACCCGAAATCATCCCGAGGCCCACGGAATCTTAACCAAAAGCACACACATAACCCAATACTTTATACAACCCGATACCATAAAACATGGATAACGAAGCATAAAGAAACAGAAATGAGGGAAACGGAGTGGTAACTCATGAGACGACTGGCCGGGTCGTCACATATTTCAATCACCAAGAAGTAAGTATGAGCTTAGAAAAGTAATCATAAAACTCATGAATGTTACTTAATCAAATTCGTCTTTTCTAAGTCTCATGCTTTTCAAGTCAAATTAAGTTTAACCAACTTATTTACCAAAACTAGTTAAAACAACTAAAAATCCTAAAAATGCTCATTTCAAAATATTACGACCATGGCAAAGAACTGAACAAGAAATCCCTGGAAGTACATGAAATAAGTTGCCTTAAGAATAAGGCAAATCAATTTTTTTCAGTTTATCTATTTTAAAAAAAATTATAATTTTACTAGAAACACATTTTTTAGTTGTAAAATATATGTTTTTTTCTTCTTCTTTTTTTATATTTAACCGGAAAAAAAACTTAAAAGAAACACATATATAACTATCATATTCCTCTATCACCTAGCTTAAATAATGTCATGTCCTCGTGACAAATAAATTAAAAGTAAAAGGAGATAAAGGAGCTTCCCTAATTTTTTTTTCGATTCTGGCCTCATTTCCTTTTTCTTGGCTTCTCAAGGTTTCTCTCATATAACAAAGACAAGATTATGGCAAAGAAAATATTCTTTTTCATAATATGAGAAAACTTTCATTATTGAAATCATGGGAGAGCTTCTTTATCATGGCAAAATATATTAATACATACTACATACGCNTATATATATATATATATATATATATATATATATATATATATATATACTGAAAGGAAATATTATATGTTACTACTAATAATTACTTAAATGATTAAAGAGAGGGGAAGAAAATAGTTCTGAGTTTAATGTCACCAGCTCGACTTATTTTAAAAGGCAAAAGGATTGTTGAAGCCTGTTTATCAAAGAATCTGCTGATATAAGGCTTCAAACGATGACTGTTTACTTTGAATTTGTCTCCCCCATCTGCATGTTGTACTTCAATGGCACCATAGGGGGTCACTCATGTTACTGTATATGGTCCTGTCCAGCGTGACTTAAACTTTCCTGGAAATAATCTCAATCGGCTATTGTACAACAGAACATGATCTCCAACTTTAAAATCTTTCTGGCGGATGAGCTTGTCATGCCATTTTTTTGTCTTTTCCTCGTACAATTTAGCATTTTCATATGCTGTAAACCTGAACTCTTCCAACTCATCAAGCTGCAATAGATGATTTTTACCTGCATCTGGCAAGTTTAGATTCAACAATTTTATATCCCAATATGCTTTATGTTCTAATTCCACAGGTAAATAACAAGCTTTTTCAAAAACTAGTCTATAAGGAGATGTGTCTATGAGAGTTTTGAAAGCAGATATGTATGCCCATAAAGCATCATCTAACTTTAAAGACCAATCTTTTCGAGAAGAACCAACAGTTTTTTCTAAAATTCTTTTTAATTCTCTATTGGATACTTCAACTTGCCCGCTTGTTTGAGCATGAAATGGAGTTCCTGTTTTATGAGTTACTCCATATTTGTCACGATCCGAATTTCCCATCCTCGGGAGTCGTGATGACGCCTACTCGGAGAAGCAAGGCAAGCCACGAAATATAGAAATTCTAACTCTTTCATTTTAATCCTTTTATCAATTTGAATTAACAAGTAATCAACAATTTAAAGATTAACGATAACAGAATAAGCGGAAGACTTAAACAGCTATAAATGATCAAAATCAGTACTACAATGCCAATATACTCCTCTACCCGGAATCTGGTGTTACAATATTCACAGACTGTCTATGAGTACTACATACAAATGTCTGAAAAAGAAAATACAGTCTGTCTCGGAAACAAGTGAAAACAGAACATAAATTGGATAGAAGAGAACGTCGGGCCCGCGGACGCCTGCAGGACTACCTCGGGATCTCTAGATGGACTGAAGGTTGGCTCCCCAAGTGCTACTATCCCAATGCTGCTCCGGTATCTACACAGAGTGCAGAGTGTAGCATCAACACAACCGACCCCATGTGCTGGTAAGGGCTTGGCCTAACCCCGGCGAGGTAGTGACGAGGCTAGGACCAGACTCTAGATAAACCTGTGCAGTTCAAATATATACAGCGGGAAAGAAAATATAGAAATAAACAAGTAAATATGGGAGGGGGAAACATGCGTTGGGGAATAGCAGGTAAAACAGAATATCAAGAGGATTATAAA